TGCTGTGAGAGTGAGGTAGGACGTGATAACGGCTCCACGTTTGGTCCAGGGCAACATTTCCCATTCTCTGGCACTCTGACGATGGCCCGGTCCCAAGAGTTCCCCACGGCGCAATTATCAATTGTCAAGCATGCTAACTAACCTCATTATATGCTCAGAAGCGTATGTGTGCCAATCAGTCGAGTCTCACATGAGTCTTTTGAAAGGAACAAAGACTTGGCATGGGTATATGCTTCTGTTCTGCAGCACTGCTCATCAGAAAACTATCTGGCATGTTACTTCTCACTAGGGCTGCACGATTAATCGCATGCGATATTTAACGCGCATCTTGTCACACATACTGCTCGATTCTGTGCTGGGAAAATGAGATGTTTGATGTGATGCACTAAAACATAATGATCTGTTGTTTATGTTAATCTTTGTAATATCTTTTTAACATGTACTCATAATGTAAACATTTTCAACGGTGGAGCAGCACTAAACCTTTTGTCCAATTAATTTCCTTGAATTTTCCATGATTAATAGATTTCCTTGACTTTTCCATGAATAATGGATAGTGGACTTTTTATAAGACTTTTTATGTAGACTGGACACACAGAGAGTGTTTTAAAGCCAATTATACTTTTGGGGTGAGCCTAACTATGTAGATATTGTTTTTCTTCATGATCGTTTAAGATTATATACATTTCTAGAAATCAAAAGATCATATTCAAGTCTAGAAATCACAATTAAACAACAGAAATATTCATAATAATGAAATAATTTATAAAAACATACCTATTTAAAATAATCATCTTTACAAAAACTTTCATAACTATTTTCACTATTTATGAACTCAAACTTGAGAGCCGTTTGAGTGAATAACTAATATTGTTTTTGTTGTTTTTTTAATTAGACATCACTCCTTCTTTAGACTTAAGTTTTTTGTTTGTTTTTTTGAAAGCTACCATCTGATCTGGCTGATTCCTCATTGATGCATGCTATAACACATCCAAACTATAACACAGTAACATGCTGTTTATCAGATGTGACCCTAATATGAGCCATCCACTGCAGTGGAAAAGGGAAATTTAAAAGTACTCAAAGACAAAATGAGTCCAAAGTTCATGTGGCACAATGCCCTTCACTTGGATTTTTAAATAAGATATAATAAGAGCCAGCAGATATATACAGTAGGGCTGCACGATTAATCGAATGTGATTGTCATGCGCATTTTGTTAGTAAAGCCAGTTCTGTAATCAACAGGAAATCATCATCACGTGCTTTCAGATGGAGCAGAATTTACTACACATAGCCGTAGTTCACTGACAAGTTACGCAAAAAAAAAAAACGATTTTATTGCGCAATTATGAAATCGAAGAAATCGTTCGCGATAATGACTAGGCATTTTCTGGGTTTCTTCTGCGAGGCGTATTTGGAGTTTCAGCGCGAGAGCGCCCTCTGGCCTTTGGATGGAGATTTACTGCTGATCACAGAACCGTGCTTCACTGAAAGATACGCATGACAATCGCAGCTTCTATCTCGATTCCATTTCGATTTATCGTGCAGCCCTAATATACAGTATTATTGTTCCCATGGTTAATCATTCTAGCTTCCAGATAATGATGTAAACTCAATGGCTCCACCAGTTCCAGAAAAGGAAGTGCCATGTTTAAAAAAAAAAAAAAGTGTAATATTTATCATGATGAACTGTAGGTAACCTAGATGCAGGCTCATCCTGTAAATGTTACAGATCTTTCGACTGATCAGTTACTTTCAAGATTAATCTTCATCATCCTATCTAGGGCTGCACGATTAATCGAATGTGATTGTCATGCGCATTTTGAGTAAATGCTGCTCCATCTGAAATACCACATTTAATAACATATTTTTACTCCAAACTCACTTCATAACGTCAGTCAAGTGTTTGAAATAAATCCTTCTGTGAGATGATGTGGCTTCTTACACAGAATAAGGCACGCAACATATTTCATAGTATTTAAGCAGTGATAAAGGCATTGCATTATAAATATACTTTATTTTAATGAAAATTATAATAATAAGAACTCAGATAAACCGTATATTGCCGTAGTCGTGTGTTTATTAGTCACGTTGAATCAATGAAAGCAGTTGAATCTTCTGTTTATTCAGCTGCAGCTATAGGCATTTTCTGGGTTTCTTCTGCGAGGCGTATTTGGAGTTTCAGCACGAGAGCGCCCTCTGGCCTTTGGATGGAGATTTACTGCTGATCACAGAACCGTGCTTCACTGAAAGATATGCATGACAATCGCAGCTTCTGTCGAATCGCGATCTCGATTCCATTTCGATTTATCGTGCAGCCCTAATCCTATCTTATATCTGTTATAACATTAACTTAATCATAATATGCTTACACAACATTTCATTTTGATAAAAGCTTTATAATTATGTCACAATGATGGCACTGCATTAGACACACAATAAAAATGTTTTATGGCTATATTCTGTGCAGATGGCCATCGAAAAAGAAGAAGGCTTTGTGGAAAATCCCTGAGAGACATTGAAACAAGTGATATGGCTATGAAAGAGAAAATAAAGTTAGGACCTTTAAAGCAAAGTTGCATAGCAACATGTAAATATTGGTGCAAAAAAACAAACAAACAGCAAACAATACACTTTTTATATAACTTAAAAAATGTATATCAAATAAAATACAAAATAAAATAAAAATGGCTACATATCCACTAATAAACACACAAGTCCTTTCAAAGCATACTTGGCAATGCAAGCCTGGCTGAGATACAAACTCTTCCACAAGAATCAACAGATCCAAAATAAACACTCCACGTCCACTTTACTGTGATAGTAAACAACAGACATTTCTTTTCCCACATTTTTTGGCTCATCGCTCCATCAAATAAACATTCATCTATCTGAAGCTACATGTTTACAGTGAGACGGTCATAGAGAGATGAGTAATTGCACATATTTATGTGCATGCTGATGGCAGCAGTACAGACGTTGTCATAGGCAATGGTTTGGGGTCAAAGGGCTGTGTGAGTTTCCTGTAGCACACATACTGTATCCCCCCCCCTTCTTCCTCTGCTCCTGCTCTCTTTATAGCCAGAGGATATGGAAAACAGGACGCAACAGGATGCAAAGAGGCCAGTGTCGATGGGACTTCCAAAGCCAACATTTTCCTGCGCTTTTGCTGGGTTCTATAAATATTCAAATGAGTGTTTTAATATGTAAGAACTAATAAAAAATAAAAACTTAAGCCAAATTTTACTAGCTGGTATGCAGGTCTCTAGTAATTAAAACTACTATGCTTTTTAAACATCAAAATCCTGATTATGTTTAATGTATGAAAGCCATTACTTTGATGATCAGTTAAAGTACATTTTGTGTAATTGTATGTCCTTGGCAGGGATGGGAGGACATTTCTTCTTTGTACAAAGGCATGGATATAATTTATAGAAATACAGGACAGCAGTGAGTGAGTGTTTTTTCCTATCAGGGTCATTCCATGAAACAGATTCCTTTTCCATTTTAAAATGTTTAAATAATTGAAATCATTAAAAATCTAGCTTTTATTGCTAGAATTTATATACAATTTTTTTTTTAATTCGGTAGAAAAATAAATAAAATTCATTTATAAAAGAAAAATAAAACCAGTATGTACTGGTCATTTTTTGCCAGGATATTATACAGATTTTTACGGACATTTCTGTTAACCTTAAAAGTGCAACATTCAAAATACAAGTAAAACACCATTAAAAAAAATATGGAAAATTTCTTCATATTAATGCAGTACATACTGTCCCCTTTTTTTCCATTATATATTAGGGGTGTAACAGTACATTCATATCATGATTCGTGTTTGATACACAATATGATACTTTAAACAAAGCCGAAATAATACGGTAAGTTAATATGGTAAAATAGTTTTTCTATTATATAATTATTATTTCTACATGGTACACAGTTAACAAAAACACGTCAAGTCACGTCAGGGCAATGTTGACACCAGAATAAAAATATTCATAATTCTGCTAAAAATACAGAATTATACAGGCACAAATACTTGCACTCTGACTAAATATACTTAATATTTAATAATACATTTTTTGTTAATAATAATTAATAAACATGGAAGTTCAAATGTGCAACCTTCTGAGTTTACTACATCTGTAAACTTAAATAGGAGTTCAAATATGAGTCAAATATGATGCAATTTTAATAAAAGACATAAATTATGTATTTATATAATTATATAATTTATATATTCAATATGAATATATTAATAAATTGTATATTGTAAAACATTTTTCTGTTTTAGTGTTTAAAAACATTCTATAATAGCACACAGTAAAAGCTTTTCATTGTTGAAGTCAGTGTTCACACATTTCGTGGAATGACCCAAGAGGGATTATAAAGGTGGAACCATTGCGACGTTTAACCAGAGCAGTCGCGCATGCGCAGACACTGGAGTTTACAGTCGCCTAATACAGTGTTCAAAGCATCCATCATTCATATGAATGAAACACAAATAAATAACGTTAACTCGGCCCTTCAGATCACAAAAGTTCAACTCTTTAACAATACATAAAACCAATCGAGTTTCCATGACATACAGCCTTTACTCATTTTCTGGAAAACTGTGGTCACACACTTAACTGGTCACAAAACAAAGCAAATGTCTCACTGAAAACCAAAATAATATAACTAAAGCCAAACAAATGCAAAACTATGAGTAAACATAACTATCTCGGATAGACGAGAAGTTACATGAAGTGCAATATTTGCAAATATCATACAAGTGTCACATTTTAAATCTTGTATTTAAACAGAATTTTGATTGTTACTAAAACAAACGATATGCGAAATTCACCTGGCGACTGTTAATACTCATTCATTAGCAGCATGCTAGCTCGCCACTGTAAAAGCAATTCAACACAACTTAACACCAAACAACAAACAAACCTCTAGCTGCTCTAAATAGAAGCCACGCAACAAATAAAGTAATAAGTAAAGTCACTCACATTATCTGTAAGTCCGGTAAGAGCAGCTGTCTTTGTAAACAGAGAGGTGACAGAGTCCCTCGATGTTAAATATTCCCTTTTTGAAAGCCGCTGTGTCCGGCTTCAGACTGAAGTCCACAGGAATAACAGCGACCTCAGTGGTGACACGGTAGCTGTGACAGACACAGGCCGTGTCTCAAAACACAGAGAGCTGACTATCTATACGTCTTTTGTGGGCGTCACACAGTAGGTGAGTCCAGTGTCTTGGCCGTTACAGAAACACGCAATAATTTTGCACCTCATAGGCTCGCGAAGATGCAACTTTACATATTACATGACAGCCCAAAATGCTGCCTAAGTAGGGAGCTCACTAGGGTTTGAGACACAACCACATCTAATTACTAAAATAACATGATTTTTAAGTTTTAACACAGCCAACACCGTTTGTTTACTGTAAAAGTAGAGTAATGTGTTATACGTGAAATATTATGACTATTTTTAATGGTTGTGTGGAATATATACGAGTAAAATAGGCTACATATAGCCTAAATGAATGAGTTTAATCGTTTTAATTTGATCAGTTCTCTTCACACAAATCGCATTGCATCTATTAAAAACTTATTTAAATCGTTACATTGTGGGACTGAGAACAAAATGCAAATGTTTTCCTCTTTATAAATACACACATTACACACTAAAAAGAATAACTCACGTTCCTAGTGGAATATAGCCTAAAAATATGAACCAAGCCTCAACGATGTAAATGTTTAAATTATATTCTAAGAAGAAATCCCACTTTATTGTTGATAAAGTTGTTTTAAAGATGAAGAAGCGTCGGGTGAGGGATGAGGAGAAAGTCAAGAGCTGCCTACTGGTTTGTCGTAGTTACTAAAAGGCGCGCAACTGATACAAACTGGAGACTCGTTCATATTTTATTGGCTTGTAATTCAAAACGTACAGAAGTATTCCTACATTGAAATCTAATACCCCATTGAAAGCAGACTTTGTGTTTGTAAATCTAATTAGGACACATGATATATCACTACGTGGCACTGTATCAAATTTCTGAGCAAAACAGCTATGAGAAAAAAAAACGTTTTTAGTTAATTTTTAGTTTAAGTTTAGACTTGGACTATATTTTTCCATTTTGAAATGTTGCGCAGGGCGTTTATACAGTTTAACTTGGGTTAAGGTTAGTCTCACATAGTCTTGAAGCATTGTAATATCTGACAGGATTTTACAGAATGATGTTTTATTTGATCACATACTGTACTAATATTAAATATCAGTTCCTTCAGAAACATCTAAACGGTTTCAAAACAGGAGTTTTACAGCTATGTCATTGGTTGAGCCTGGAGAAACACTGTTAATTAGATTTAATGCCACACTGACTTTTGCTTTTCCCAGGAGCATTGCAGAGATAAAAAAACAGTGTGCTCCAGAGCACTTATGCCAGTAACACAACATAAGTGAACATATAACAGAAGAACAGCTTGATTTCCAGACGCTGTGACTCATCTTAATGATACTGTTACCTTGGAATGTTTAGTAAAAATACGGAGTCTGATGAAAACGCCTGAAGTGAGGAGGAGTTGTTATACTAGCTGGGAGATATTCTGGTTGTTTTTCAGTTACATGAAAGTATAACTTGAGTCTAAATATACAATTTCAGCCCATTTCTGGAAGTGGTACTGTAAAATTATATGGTAAAAATGCACAAAAAAGCTGACTAATTAAACAGTCATACAAAAATTTCATAGTGAACTACAGTATTTAAAATAGATTTCTTGTTTGAAAATAAATAAAGTTAAATACTGTGTGTGTGTGTGTGTGTGTATATATATATATATATATATATATATATATATATATATATAATAAACACAAATCAAACAGCAAATTCAGTATTTGGGTTTGCCATCATTATACCCTCAGGTAACCAATCCCTCAAAAACATTTCAGCTTAAATTACAACTCATTCCATATGCTGCTGGCAGATGGGTAATTCCACAAAGCACTGAAGTAATAACTGAGCGTTGAGTGCATGATCCACTCAAAGAGTCTCATTAGCTCTAACACTTCAGAATTAAAAGAGATAAAGGAAGTTTCTCATATGGAGAACACAGCAGGGATGCAATCTCGAGAGAGGGGAAAGAGGTGAGGCCGTCACAGGTGGTCGTTTTCAAGGTTTCAAAGCTGATCAAATGATACAGGCTACGAGACGTTTCTTTTAAACTAAGAATTGAATGAACTTTCCGGTCTTACAAATACCAGTCAAAAGTTTTTGAACAGTAAGATTTTTAACCACTTGATTGGCTCTATGACTTTCTCTCCTCTCCACCTGTAGCTGGTGTGTGGTGAGCGCACTAGCGCCGTTGTCCTGTGGCTGCCGTCACATCATCCAAGTGGATGCTGCACACTGGTGGTGGTTGAGGAGAAACCCCCCCACATGATTGTACAGCACTTTGGGTGTACAACAATACACCACAAAGCGCTATATACACTGAACAAAACTATAAACGCAACACTTTTGTTTTTGCCCCCATTTGTCATGAGCTGAACTCAAAGATCTAAGACTTTTTCTATGTACACAAAAGGCCTATTTCTCTCAAATATTGTTCACAAATCTGTCTAAATCTGTGTTAGTGAGCACTTCTCCTTTGCCGAGATAATCCATCCACCTCAAAGGTGTGGCATATCAAGATGCTGATTAGACAGCATGATTATTGCACAGGAGTGCCTTAGGCTGGCCACAATAAAAGGCCACTCTAAAATGTGCAGTTTTATCTCACAGCACAATGCCACAAATTCTTGCATGGCCAGCATACTCACCGGACATGTCACCCATTGAGCATGTTTGGGATGCTCTGGATCGGCGTATACGACAGCGTGTTCCAGTTCCTGCCAATATCCAGCAACTTCGCACAGCCATTGAAGAGGAGTGGACCAACATTCCACAGGCCACAATCAACAACCTGATCAACTCTATGCGAAGGAGATGTGTTGAACTGCGTGAGGCAGATGGTGGTCACACCAGATACTGACTGGTTTTCGGACCCCCCCGGACCCCCCAATACAGTAAAATTGCACATTTTAGAGTGGCCTTTTATTGTGGCCAGCCTAAGGCACATCTGTGCAATAATCATGCTGTCTAATCAGCATCTTGATATGCCACACCTGTGAGGTGGATGGATTATCTCGGCAAACGAGAAGTGCTCACTAACAGATTTAGACAGATTTGTGAACAATATTTGAGAGAAATAGGCCTTTTGTGTACATAGAAAAAGTCTTAGATCTTTGAGTTCAGCTCATGAAAAATGGGGGCAAAAACAAGTGTTGCGTTTATAATTTTGCTCAGTGTAAACGCATCATTCATGTTTTTTAAAAGAAGTCTCTTCTGCTCACCAAGCCTGCATTTATTTGATCCCAAATACAGCAAACGCAATAATATTGTGAAATATTTTTACTATTTAAAATAACTGTTTTCTATTTGAATATATTTTTAAATGTAATTTCATTCCTGTGATCAAAAAAGCTAAATTTTCAGCATCATTACTCCAGTCTTCAGTGTCACATGATCCTTCAGAAATCATTCTAATATGTTGATTTTTTTGCTGTTCAAGAAACATCATCATCATCATCATCATCATCAATATTTAAAACAGTTGAGTACATTTTTTTCAGGATTCTTTAATGAATAGAAAGATCCAAAGATCAGCATTTATCTGAAATAAAAAGCCTTTGTAGCATTATACACTGTACCATTCAAAAGCTTGGAGTCAGTATTTTTTATTTATTTTTTTGGGAGGGATTATACAAATTAATACTTTTATTTAGCAAGGATGCTTTAAATTGATCAGAAATTATGATAAAACAATTATAATTTTACAAAAGATTTCAATTTCAGATAAATGCCGTTCTTCTGAATCAAAGAATTATCAAAGAAACCTGAAAAAAAAATTATCATTCTCATTTACTCAGCTGTTTTCAAAATAATAATAATAATAATAATAATAATAAATGTTTTTGAGCAGCAAATCAGAATATTAGTTATTTTACAAGTTATTTTAAATAGTAAAAATATTTCAAAATGTTTCTGTTTTTGCTGTACTTTGGATCAAATAAACGCGGACTTGGTGAGCAGAAAACAAAAAAATCTTACCGTTCAAAAACTTTTGACTGGTAGTGTAGTTCATATGCTTGTAATTCTCATACTTGCTACAGTGTGCACATTAACCCTTTAAAGAAGGACTGTAACCACTATATGTAATTAAACACTAATATTTGGGTTGGTCAAGCCAATATATTTTAAACAAATTATTCTTATTTTTTTTGCATTTGATTTCCCCAGTCTTGAATATTATACTGTGCACAGGGATCAGGTGGTTCATTATAGTCCAAAAATTCTTGCCCAAGTTGAAACACAGAATACATCAAGCATTTCAATTTGAGTATTGGGAAGCAGACGGTCATCTGTCTTGATCGAGCGGGATGCCAATCTCATCATCTGCATGAACAGGCAAAAATTCTGCCCTCCAGCAGAGACGGAAGCAAGTCTGGGAGAATAAATGAGTTTAGAATATGCATAAGCCATGTTCTTGGGGAAGGGATTTGTTTATTCATTTTATGTGTACTTAAATTTGGGCCTTTAATCACAGGAATGAAATCTTAATGTTCGGATTGTTTGAGGAAACCGCAAGGGCTCTTTGTCTTTTTGCTATGGCATAGATGCAACTTTCAGTCATTTTTAAACATAATACTACATAGACGGTTACATATAAGCCATATATAAACTAATTTCCTTGAAGAATTCACAGAACTGCTGTTTATTTGAGCATCTCAACCAGCACAGTAAAGCAACATTGGCTCACCAATGTTATGGGTCTGGGACGAGACTAACCATTTAGGGAAACCTGCTGGAAAAGAGTTATTTTTGCAATTCCGTTTAGAAATTACACACTTCAGGTTTAAGTGAGTTTTTCAATACAATTAATAATTCATACAACAAATACAATAAAAAAAAAAACTCATACTTGAGATTCAGCATCTGGCCATTTAATTTTGATAGATTCTATACACTATTATTTTATTG